TTTTGAGGGACAAAATGAATCTTCGGTATTTAACAGGACAGAATCTGGAGAGTGGATGCAAATCGACAGGTCATGTTTGAACTATAGTTTCATTATTTCTGACGATTAACCGAATCTGTTGTGATCTCGAAATGGTTTGGATCGAGATACACATTTCTCTCATGTTGGAGGCTATAAATCTGAATTTAAAGTGGGTGCATACGTGCGTACTGCCATCTTCTTTACCAACCTCGTTATCTCGTGTGTTCTTTTTAGGAGTTTTCAATTAGGAGTTTGAACCTATGTAAGTTTCAAACGTTGCCGTATTAGTAGGTGTAGTCCAGCCGACTGGGTGGAAAAAGTGAGGTCAGGTGGAAAAAGGTCGCAAGTTAATGGAACTTTGGGATGTTGCTCAGGGGCGGGTATTTAACATGTTTTCAAGTTTTAGACTTTTAGACCTCGAGGACCCTGTGCGAAAAGAGAGGGGGCGGGTGGAAGCTGCGAAATTGCCGACCTTCGTCAATACCTTTTTCCTCAATAACGGTGTTCCTTCATATACGGCAAACGTATTTCTATACTTTTTTGAAAAAAAAATTTTGACTCAACATGTTTGTATGCCTATTCGTTACCGTAATATGGCGCTATGCAAAATTCTGATGAATGATGATATTCTGATTGCGGTTCCTGGTTACAATCACCAACTTTGAACCCTTTCACCCCATTTCCGTTCCTCCCTTTTGAAAAAATGGTGTTGTTTCGAAGCAAAATAAGCTGGTATGACTAAGAAGAAGAAATGAAGCAGAAGTGAAATATGTGTGAAAAAAAGAGACGAGAAGGGGGTGTGAGAACATCGCAAACCAGGCAAGTGTAAGCGCAATATCATAGGGTTTAAGGGAATCGTGAGGGAAGTAGACATGAATAAAAGAGACAAGGAGACTTAAAAACGTGGTCAGATAGAGTTAGGAATGAAAAGTGTTAATTGTAAGGGAAAAAAGAAAGCTGAATACCACAGCAGAAAGGAAAGTTGGATCGGGCATGTATTAAAGAACGACTGTTTATTGAGGGAGGTGTTGGAGGAGTATTACGAGCTTTTAATAATCTTTAAAAATATATTGAGTGGTTAATATCCTTTACTAGCTTTAAGGATCTCTAAGTCTTTAAGAGCGTTTAAGGGTCGGCAGCAGTTTCTAAGCGCTTCCAAAAGCCTCCTGGTAGGTCTTTAAAAACCTTTGAAGCTTTGAAAAGCCTTCAAAAGACCACAAAGATTTACTGAGGCGTTGAGAAGAGTTAATTGTAATCTACAGCCTTGGAAGGTCTTTAAGGCCACTATGACTCTCTAATCCGACTTAAAAGTAATTTAAGAGACTTGTCTTGAAAACGTTTTGGAGCATTTATGTATCATCAACAGTTTTTAATATCTTTTAGAGTTCATGAGATTCTCTCGTCCTTATCTAGGGATTCTTAAGGGTCTTTAATGATGTTAAAAACAATTTAAGAACCTTTAGGTCTTTAAGAAACCCTGAAAGTTTTTAACAGCCTTCAAAAAGCTTATATAAACATGTTTAGCCTTTAACAGCTTTTCAGAAGAGCCTCTAAAAGCTTTCAGAAAGTATTCCTAAAGATATCCACGACCACGAAGAGTTTCCGAAATTATTAAGAATCTTCTAAATGCTGTATAAATGCTTTATACGAGCTTTTTACATTCAAGAGCTTTAAGACATTTATGACATGAGATACTCCAAGGTGCTTTCCTTAAAAGTCTTTGGAGTCTTTCAGAGCCTAAAATAGTTTCTGAGAACTTCCAAGAATATCCCACAAGCTTGCATTCTTGGCTTTTCTGTATTAGCCGAGATTTTAAGAGCACTAAGGGGTCTTTAAGTAGTGTTCAAAAATACTAAGAAGGTCAAACCTTAATTTGCGACTTTAAGAGTCTCCTAAAATTGATTTCAAGAAGCTTAAAGAACCTTTTGACTTGCTTGAGCCCTACAAACTTCCAAAGTCTTCAACAGCCTTCAAAGTACTTAGGTTTTCTATTTATCCATGTAGGGACAGGAAATTGTGGGTGCCCCGTGGCGTGAGAGGCAGTTGGGCAGCGGTGAGTCGGCTACAATCCTGACGCAGGAGTTTTGGGGGCAGGAGGTGGTTGTGCAGAGGTATGCATGGTAGTAAAAGGGGAATACTCTTCAGCTTTGGAATCTTGTTGAGATGGGGACTTGGGTTTTTCGTCTACTCGGCCACTAGGAATGGTAAAGATCCTGGTGCAGGAGTTTTAGGTACCCTCAGTAGGTTCTCCAAATCGTGTCGCTTCTCGGAAAACATAGCATCGTTTCGGGTTGTTTCTGCCCACGTTTTGTTTGTGCCCTAGGTGCAACTTTTTGCTTGCAGCGTCAGAGTTGGATTCCTTCCAAGACGCTGTACGCCATTTTTCTTTGTTCAATTAATCACGGTTCGCTACTCTAACAAGGACACATGGATGTGGGTGAGCATTTTTTATTAGTTTGATAGAAAGTTGCGTTGGGCGGAGGGTTTCTTCCCGTTTGGAGTCTGAAGTGCATTTTTGGGGTTGGAAGTTTTACAAATACAAAGGTGCTCTAAGGATTTCTTAAATTGTTTTGATTCTGCTCCCTGGGAGAGACCTATACGGTCCTCATGTTACAAATGCGTTTGAAAGCTTGAGGCGCCAGTGAGTCGAGGCATAACGCGTGGTTGATTCGGATTACAGAGGAATTTAGTCTATTTTGCAGTCGTAGTTATCGCGGTCTGGTACAACTCGCCACGGACAACTATTTAATTAGGCCCAGTTGTACAAACGCCTATTAAACCTCGCTTGGTATTAACCAGTGGATTAAGGTATAAGATTGGTTGAAATATGACGTGTTTCCAAATATTTTAATCCATTGCATTATTGTGCGAGATCTGCTAATGGGAAATCGTTCTACGTCCACCAGTCTCTTTATTGGTGTCAAGAAATCTGATTGGGTGTGAAAAAAAAGTAGTGGGAGGTTCTTTGTTTCATGGGAACCGTCAGGCAATCTGCATTTAACCCCGAGAGTATTCGCGTCGAGAACCGTCAGAGTGTTTGCGTTGAGCTACCCGCGCAGCTAACTCGGTCACCTATAATTTGGCGCGTTTCAGTTATGTTAGAGAATTTGCGTTGCGCCGTGAGCGAAGTCGCGTCAGCCACCTGTGAATTACGATAGGGTGGATTTCATATTGTGTTAAGAAATTATCGTCGAGCCACCAGCGCAGTTAAATCGACCACCTGTAATTTATCGCAGGTTGTTTTATATGCTGGTGGAATAACTCCAATAATCGAGAATGCGTATTAGTTTAAGAATAATTTACATTATTTGTCGCCCGTCTGAAGCCTTTTAAATGGTTTAGAGTGTTTAAGAGGAGTCCCTAAGAGTTTTTTAGAATCTACAATAGCTTTATAGCTGGTATTAGAGGTTTTTGTTTTTATTAGTCGTCAATAACTCAGCCTTTAAGAGATTTATTGAGCCTTAGAACAATTATAAAATATTATTAAGATTTTAATTATCATTAAAAAAATTTAGGATAACTTTCAGTCGGCATGAGTTTCCTTCACGAGTATGTGAGTCCCTAGAGTTTTTAGAATCTACAATAGCTTTATAGCTGGTATTAGAGGTTTTCGTTTTTATTAGTCTTCAATAACTCAGCCCTTAGGAGATTTATTGAGCCTTAGAACAATTATAAAATATTATTAAGATTTTAATAATCATTAAAAAAATTTAGGATTACTTTCAGTCATCATGAGTCTTTAAGGCCTTTATGACCTTTTTCGATGTTTTAATCACGCAAATTTGTCAGATCTTTTGGGTCTGTTGCTTTTGAGATGTTTGGAAAAATGGTTCTGTGAAATTTCGTTCTTAAAATCTTCACCTATGTACAAAAGGCACCGAAATGAATAAACGACCGGCTACCTTTGTGAAACTTTTGAGAATAAAAAAAATGTGCAAAAACAGATTTCTTTTGTTATTAAACTACGTTTTAACATTGGAAAGGTTTATTTTTTCATATATGTAGCTCAGCGGTAGAGCGTTGGGCTATATATAGCCGAAGGTCGGGTGTTCGAACCTGGGTTGAGGTAAGAATTTTTCATCTTTGACAGAGATGGGAATCAGTTTCG